TAACATGAGGGATAAACGATTTTCTTCTCTCTCTTATCAAAAGCAATGTAGTCCGGAAATAGCTAATCAATATTATATATAATATATATATACATATAACATTATATGATTATATGACCTAATATGCCATTCAATTGGTTGTTGTTGGATTAATGTTTTATTTTTATCCTTGTATCTAATTTCCAAGAAATACTCGTACAGTGAATAATTATATAAGCGTTGATCAGCATATAGTATATATATATGTGTTCAGCTTACCTCACGCGCTATACGTCTTTCCATGGTTCATGTGATTCAGGAACCGTACCTTAAAAAGATATAGGCAAATCATTATATTTTAATCTTTTTTATTTTTATTTTCATAAGTCAATATTATGCTTTACGTCAAATTTTACAATGCATTTCCCCACAGTACAATGGCTATTAAATTGGCAAGACTGGGATGAGACTCCCAGAATTGTAGAAAGTACATTTTAATAATCAGCGTTGAACTTTACAAGGCTAATAAATTAAAATTGGATACAAATAGGTTGCAACATTTCTAGGGTCGCCAGAAAAATCTATGGTAGGTGGGGATATCTGAAACACGCACTTGTTTTTGCCTAAGCTATATGCCAGTTAGTAGAACTGTTTTTAATATGAACAATTGGTATTGAAAGGGAAGCAACTTTTATCGAGAAAATAGCAGTCTACAGATAACGTTAATTTCCTCTCTGTCTTGTTGATTCTAGAATATATGTTGTCAGGATATAATTGTATATGGTAGACTAAGGTTAAAGAAGTTGAAAATTAAACTTGTTCACAATATGGCAATTAAACGCCGTTTTGGGACCCCTAAACCCTGCTGTCTGCGAAGTGAACTTTAATACCACAAGGCAACACATACCAAAAGTCAAATGTAATCATAACGCACCTTATAACGAAAGTCGAATCACGAATCCCCGTTAATATAAAATTGTACATATATCTCGCCTTTGCAGAAATGCTGCTAAACAACTTGCTGTTTTAAAAGACTGGGAAACAATCTTACAAAGAAAGGAAAAAATGCCAGTTTTAAGTCTTTTATTCTATCAAATTTTAACTATTGTCCACTTGCCTGGCACTTTTGAAGTTCAGGAACGAGCACTTCGTTTTATTTGAAAATGATTATTATGTTTCCCCAGTCATTGATATTCTTAGAAAACACAAACTTGATTTTTTATATATAAAACGTATGAAAGATATGGCCTCTGAGGTTTTTAAAATTTTAATTGAAATTTTTCTATCAATTTTACAAAATCTTGATGAGAGGAAAGAAGTTTTTTACAATCTGAGACAAGATAACCTGGTAAAGATTCCAAAGGTGAACACCTCCACTTATGGTAAGAGATCTTTCCGTTTTGCTGCTTCCCAGGTGTGGAACAGACTACCAAATGAACTTCGATTAGCTGAAAACTATAAGTCGTTTCGTGGGCTGCTCCGCACCTGGAACAAAAATGTCTGCTCATGTGCAGACACCATATAGTGTGAGTTGTCCCCCTTTGGAATCTACCTTCATGTTTTATACTACAACTATTTAATTTCACTGTTGCTTGTGTTATTTAATTTAATATACTTCAGTAATATACTTATTATGTAATTGATATTTATTTTAGATTTGAGCTCCATTATCTAAAAGATCATTACTTTTTTACAATATCATAATTATAGCTGTTTCTATTGATGACTTCGTTGTCTCTTTAATTCACACTATATTAGTGTATATCCTGTACATTTTTACACTTTGCTACATAAGCATATATGTACATTACACTGTTATAGTGTCTTAACTTGTCTTTTGTAACACTTGTGTGACATTCAAGTGTGATATACTATGCTCTACTGTATAATTTGAGCATATCTAATTTGAATTGTTGTCCTGTTTTTATATTTATATATATTCATAAGTACTGTGACCCTTGTTAAATTTTATATATATGTTTTGTCGCAAGAATAGCACTACAGTGCTAAAGTTACTATGTTACATGTATATGTGACGTTAAATAAAGCTTCTTTACTCTTGACCAAAAGTCTAATGGTACGCCAAGTACAATGTTTTATCTCACTTTACGAAACTAAAGATCATGTTACATTTTCTGTAGTATTGTAATAATAGCGCCGATGTTAAAGGCCAAGGTAAGTAACAGATTGCATGTTCATCGAACCCAATCCATACTTAATTACAGGCCATCATAATATGACGCTGCCATAAATGGCGTGTTCACAAACTTACCAAGTCGTTGTGAGCTTGTGTCGTTGGTACATTGTATGGCTGCTATTTTGCCATGATTTGTGATCTTAGGGCGTTTCGGCCGTTTTCGCTACTACATCACATCAAAAAAGTCTCACATCTTCCATCAGAAAAAATAGATTTTTTTCTTTCTATTTTGGTATTTAAATATTTTTCAAACATTTAAAAATGGGACATTTCTCACAGAAACCCTATGTCGTTGACGATTAAGAAACGATCATGAAAACTATTTATCAATCATTCTACCTTAGTCTAATCTTAACAACAAGAGGCCCAAGAGGGCCTGTATCGCTCACCTGAATATTTAAGCAGTCATAGCAAAATATTCTCATTAAATATTATATTGCACTAAAACTATTTCCCTCGCAAACTTTGTTGGCTCCATCTGTTGAAACTACCAGCAAAATAATATTATAAGATTCTATGCTTTTTGATTCTTCTTCAGAAGTTGCTTGACATACTTTTCCCTGTGATCTTGTAAGTAGGTCAATGTCATTTTCCTTCTCAAATTGGTTAGCTCTATTCCAAAAAGCTACCAGCCAAATCTTATGATTCCATTCCTTTTAGTTCTCAAGAACAAATCCATTAAAATGTTGTTGACCTCTGTGACCTCTAAAGTAGGTTGAGGTCATTTTCATTTGCAAACTTTGGTGAGCTCTATCCCGGGAAGTCACCAGCCAAATATTATAATTTTATGCCTTTTAATTCTTCAGAAGAAGCTGTTTGAACTGTTTGACATATTTGAACGCTGTGACCTTGAAAGTAGGTCAAGGTCATTTTCATTCGCAAACTTTGTTTGGCTCTTTCCCAGGAAGCCACCTGCCAAATATTAAGATTTTATAACTACCAGTTCTTCAGAAGAAGTCGTTTAAAGTGTTTGACATATCTGCCTCATGTGACCTTAAAAGAAGGTCAAGGTCATTTTCATTCTCAAACTTTGTTCGGCTCTTTCCTAGGAAGCTACAAGCCAAATATAGAGATTATATACCTTTCAGTTCTTCAGAAGAAGTCGTTTGAAGTGTCTGACACATTTGACTCCTGTGACCTTGAAAGAAGGTCAAGGTCATTTTCATTCTCAAACTTTGTCGGGCTCTATCCAAGGAAGCCATCAATCAAAAATAAAGATTCTATACCTTTCAGTTCTTCAGAAGAAGTCATTTGAAGCTTTTGACATATATGACCCCTGTGACCTTGAAAGTAGGTCAAACTAGTTTTCATTCTCAAACTTTGTTGGGCTCTATCCCAGGAAGCCACCAGCCAAATATAAAGATTATATACCTTTCAGTTCTTCAGAAGAAGTCGTTTGAAGTGTTTGACACATTTGACCCCTGTGACCTTGAAAGAAGGTCAAGGTAATTTTCATTCTCAAACTTTGTTGGGCTCCATCCAAGGAAGCCATCAGCCAAATATGAAGATTCTATACCTTTTAATTCTTCAGAAGAAGTCGTTTGAAGTTTTTGACATATTTGACCCCTGTGACCTTGAAAGTAGGTCAAACTAATTTTCATTCTCAAACTTTGTTGGTCTCTATCCCAGGAAGCCACCAGCCAAATATAAAGATTCTATACCTTTCAGTTCTTCAGAAGAAGTCGTTTGAAGTGTTTGACACATTTGACCCCTGTGACCTTGAAAGTAGGTCAAGGTCATTTTCATTCTCAAACTTTGTTGGGCTCTATCCCAGGAAGCCATCAGCCAAATATGAAGATTCTATACCTTTTAGTTCTTTAGAAGAAGTCGTTTGAAGTTTTTGACATATTTGACCCCTGTGACCTTGAAAACAGGTCAAGGTCATTTTCGTTCTCAAACTTTGTAGGGCTCCTACCAACGAAGCTTTCAGCCAAATATCATGACTCTAGGCCTGTCCGTTCTTCAGAAGAAGTTGTTTAAAGGAAAAGTTGACGTACGAGGACGGACAGACGGACGACGGACGCCGCGCCACGGCATAAGCTCACTTGGCACTTCGTGCCAGGTGAGCTAAAAATGAACGTCGAATTATAATAATATATTTAGACCAATTCACGGTTGTATCTTTGTCCACATCGAGGCTATTCGTGCGATTGTCCCGTTGGAAGGGAAGTAACTGTTTCAGCAATTAATAGATAATATTTTCGGTCATGTTATCGTTCACATTTCGTGACGGAGCTCATTCTAGAATACCTGTTATTGAGGAAAAGAGATGGCAATTGTAAACGAAAAACGTAGCAGTAGTCAACATGGAAAAAACCCAGAAGAGTCTGAAACTTAAAACATAGACACAGAAAACTACTCAAGAAAATTACTCCTTTCATGAAACGGCGAGTGATATGCATGTTTATTTTATAAAACTGGATCCATGATTTCTTTTCTGAGACGGGGTTAATGCAGACCAAAACAAGTTGGGGGGAAAACATAACTAGGTCCTCTCTATTTGTCTGTACTGTAGGTCCTGTATAATCGAACGAGGAATCAGGAACCCCATCTCTTCTCTTGTTGCAGACAAAGATCGTAACAGTTGTTTGTCCTCCTAATCATTGCTCGTCTCCATAGGAGTGTCTAGTTAGTCTGGTCCAGCCCGTAGCACATCTTCCTGTGTCCGGTGTATACGTCCCTGGGTGTATGTACCGTCCAATTTTACCCAGATACTGATGTCAATGGCGATGATGTGGAATCCCAAACTTATTCAATGTAGTTATTGACAATGTTACATTGGGATTTCAAATTATATATATATATATAACACGAATGACATGCCGAGTTTGTGATTTCTTTAATTAATCTGATTTTCTTACAAATCAAAGAAGCATGGAATCAAATAACAATAAAATTCAACATTCAGAACTAAACAATTACTGTTATTAGCTAAATATGGTTTCTTCCTGAATGGAATAACAGATGAAACTCCAGAAAAAACATTTAGTCACAATATAGGTTAAAAGATACTAAAACTGGAAACTTCTGTTGGCAAACACCTATCATAAGTCAATTTCTCATTGTTTTCGATACATCATCAAAGATGCTATATTTAAGTAAAACTTCGTGATATTTTTAATATACCTTCTTTCGGTGGTTTTCTATTTTGTAAAATTTAAATAAGGCTAAATTAAGCCATAAACAGTAATTTCCAAACAGAGTTACTATACAAGGTAATTTGCAGGTTAAAAATATTGCACGTCATACTTTGATTGTTATTGTTTAGAATTCCACTGACGGATAGACGTGGCAGTGATCATTTGACGTGGCAGTGATTTTCATTTGACGTGGCAGTGATCATTTGGTATATATTGCACAACAGAACATGTTATGTACCACAGATGTCGTCGTACAATTGGTCTTCAAACATATCCATTATTTATTGTCAGTTCACATGTTGTTAGCGATAATTGACTGTGTATGGTATGCCACATACCGAGATGGAATCGCCCAGAAGATATTACTGCTGAAAACACTGCTGATTAACTGTTCAATAAAACATCACTAAATAATTTGGTTAATAGATACTTTTCACAATTTCATATCAAATATTTACATTAAAATTAGTTATATAGTCAGGCAGGCCAGTCATGATCACAATACATCGGAAAACCGGTATATTGCAATACAGAGGCATATCAAATCATATCAGCAAGTACAGAATTGAAATATTGTTGTATCGCAACTTTTCAAAAGCTCATTTTCATGTATTTATTTGCTATGTGTTTTAGATTGGAAGCAGGCTATTAAAAGTAGTGGGAATCAGCTGAAATTTCAAAAAATTAAAAAATTCCATATCAGTTAGTTTGATAACCAATAATACTATGATATAATAATATTGGGATACATGACACAACAATATCTCTTCTGTATTGCAATGCACTGTTATACACTCCAGGCATATTGTGACACCCCTATAGTCTGGCCACTAGTTATTTTATCTGGGTTATACTATATATATATTGTATGATACTGTGATGACTAGACGGACGATGCCTGACCCAGTAGCGAGATGAAACGTACTTACACAACACCTATATGTATATGCATTCTATAAACTGACACATAATGTATAAATACATGAATTTCTGGGCGATCCCACCTCACTGTGTCCTATATAGTTACATTGTTTATACATAACTTTAATCTTTGCTGTATTTCCTTAACACCAACATATTGCCTTCACATTTAAAAAAATGAAAATAAAAATGCAATCTTGCAATATTAAAAACTCACAAACTCTGGTAATAGAGGTCAGTGTATTAACATCGATGACCCTTGAGGAAAACGTTGTTTGAAAACAACGGGCAATGCTCAAGAACTGTTAATGATTGATCCAAAATTTTCAAATCGCGAGTACAAATTCTTATAAAGTCGTTTGTTTTTTTCTTTTAGTCCACTCCTCCTGGTACTGTTTTCCAGAAGTCGTCAGAATACAATACTAAAGTATTAAATTTGTTCATAAAATCAGATCCTCTGAATATCTTTAAAACATCATACCAGGTGCTATGACTATGTACTTGTAGAATCCATTCAGTGATATATAAGTTACCTTGGGATATTATACACACTCGCCGACAACAATAATATAAGTAACGAGAATCAAGTATGCACGGACAAGAATGATGACGATGATTGTATTAATGATCAAGATGAAGATGACTTGCTGTTACAGTAAAATGTTTCTCAGTATAACACGATGGTTAGACATGTCTACTGAATGTCTGAACGATGAATATTAAAGTTTACTATACATGTATTTAAAACCACATTTGTGTTATTTACATTGGGAAAAGCTGCTAAAACACAAGTACTACATGTAAACAAACACATAAAATTTACATACAATTATATTACAGGCCCCCACAACCTGTTCCAATGGAAGAGTGCTTCTGTTTTGATTGGGACGTCAACATATAGTCGCATATATTCTAAAACATCAAGCTGGCACACTTCTTTCAGAACATTGTTTCCACCCAGTAAAAGACTGGTTACACAAGCACAGTAACCACATTCAACTTAAGGTTGTTAAATAGAAATGTACAACCCTATTGATTCTGTACAATCATCCTGGCACTACACCAAGGATAATTAAGCCTTTGTTAATACACAGGTGCCTGATTATAAACATAGTTACTTTTATTAAACAAAAGTTCAGGAATATGAATAATGTATCAAAATTTCTACTTATATTTATGGAATGAATCTTGAGAAGCACTTGGCCATGGTAAAAATAAAGTTCAATTTTTTTTGTAATAACTATGTATAAGGTATATATTTCCCCAATGTTTATTATTATGACAGTTGCCTGAACCAACCAAATGTCCTAATTTTCAAACCAATATTTGATTTTATATGCAATTAACTCATTCACCCCTGAAATTTCATAATGAACTATTCCAACCTTTGAATTGGAAGAGTTCAAATGCTTCTTCAGGGGTGAATGAATTAAGAATGAAAAAAAATGCAATCAATCTGTTTGTTCCTTTTCAAACCAACCATTATTTCAGCAAAGAAAACATAAGGCATTTTTTTTCTACGCATGAGTTAAGTTGTCTTCCTTATAAGGCACAGCAAACATCCGCATACATATCACTAAGCTTACCTAAAGGCTCGTCACACTAAACCTTCTAGCATTTCTCATCTCCTAGTCTAACAACCAAATACTTCATGCTCCTACGGTAATCCTATCACAAGTGGACACATTTTGATCTTTACATGTTTAATTTTCAACACTGGTTTTTATGGGATCAAGTTAATTTCTGCGGTTTTGGCACAAATTTTCAGGTGTTGTCTGCTGTCGGTGAAATAAATACATTAGTACATATGGGAGCCTCACTCTTTTTACTTCCAAGGATTTCCGCTTACTTTCATGTATTTCACTTTTACTTAGTTGCATGCCATTCAAGGTTTATTTAGAGCTGTAAAGTATTTTAACCTTTTGAGATGCCTATGTGATGGGTTGGATAGTTATATCAAAGTTAATGTGTTTACACTTGATGAATTTCTACAATGAAGATTTTAGAAGGAAAAGCAATACTTCTTACATCAGATAGTAGAAATACATGAAGTACAGCTGTGTGTGTGTGTGTGAAACAAACCGGGGTTCAGCAGAAATGATTCAAATCTACTAAAATGTGTTGCAGAGGTAAAGTGTGTCGTGAAAATTAAGCCAAAACACATTGTTTTAATGTCGTACATTTGTAGAATACATAATTACATCAGCTCATACACATTTATACAACACACGGTTCATCATGTCGACATTAAAACATATACTATTAAATTCCCTCGCTCTACAAACACACCTCCTGATAGTGCTGGTTTAAAACTAAGATATATGGGACTTGAAAATAACTTGTTGTGATCATTTAAAATATCTAACATAAAAATACACAGTGACAACAAAAATGTGTCAAAAGTCACCAACCACATATACTTGAGCAGAAAAGATCCATTCCGTCTTCAAATCATTTACATCAAAATCTACATACAGGTCATGACACAAGTATGATTTTCTTTTTTTAATTCAATTAGCAGGCGTTAGTCAAATGAACATGTAAGCAAGACAAATGACCAATACTGCGTTGTAATTATTATTCAATTCATAATTCGTTTCTATCCTCTATTAAAAATCCCTGTTCCACTGTACTGTTTTTTTCGTATAATAATAATACAAAAGCTCCCCTTCATTAACCTTTGGATATAATTACAGCACATTACCAGGTAGCTCCATCAGTTCTAGTGATAGTATAACGATTTGAAATCCTGTGTTCAAATCACGGTCTAGCCTGTTACGTTTTATTTTGTTTAGGTCAGTTTCATTATATTTTTCAATAAAAGTCCTGCAATGTATTTTTCTTTTCAGAAATGATTTATCAAAGCTATATTCTAGCTGAGAAAAAAAGTGTCTGATGCGCAGTTAGTGTTTTGCAGTGGTACGGGGATTCTTAAATTGGAAATTATTTTTAGAACTGAAAAATTATTACTGTTCAAAATATCTCCCAAGGTTTTTTTATTAAGTCAATGGCCATTTTTAATGAAACATGAAAAAAACACCAACTTATACTGTTTTCTGAGTGACATTATATGCAAGCGAATAATGATGACATGAATCTATTTCTACTCTACTTCTAAAAATATCTCAATCAGGATGCTTAAGAAAGAAAACTGGATTTCTCTTTTGACTTGTTCCTGCTGGGTAACTTTTTAACCGGACAATAACGTTAACACCTATTCAGTTCCTGTTTTGTTTATCTTGGACTAACTAATAATAGCTTGTCAATAAATGCAACCAAAAATTATTCAGAAAAATTTCAGGGACTAAATTTTCCTGGGGCCTGAATCATGTAGACCAGATAGGAAACAGCTACCAAATACATTTGTTCCACATAACCAGTCCTAATATGAGGGTTACCTCCCTTTATACGGTATTATCTAGGATCAAGATTGATTTTCTTTTTTCCTTTATATGACCCTTAAAGATGTGTAAAGCTAAAATGTATAAAAACATGCTGTGTTTCTATCGTTGTGTAACTGGTGTATCATTCCTTTTAGGAAAGTCCCTAGGCGTTGAGACTAGAAGTGGTACACAATCAGCGTACTCTCAAGCTTGTGGAGATTGCTTGCACGCTTACTTCATCTCAACCTTTGCATAATTTCTTACAACTCCTATCCCATGTCACATTCAAATCACGGGGCTTTTGTTTCTTCATTTCCAACTTGAATCGTCAGTGCCACTTTACTGTAATTAAAACCACTTCACAACACATGTACCTGCAGTCCACCTATATGTCAATCAAAAGCACTGTGATTCACATCGATCTTTCCTAAGCACACAGCCTAACTTGTTTACAGAATAATCTTCAGTAGCGTCACCACTGAGATGAGTGCCAGTGATCCTAAAGATGTCATCTGCACTGACCCATTGAGGGCGCCAGCCTCTGAAACAAAAGAAACTAGACATTACACCACTGTTGTCCAATGCCAACAAATGCGTAGTCATTCGGATGAGTACAGCAGGACGGAAAAATATACGCCCGTCCCATTCCAGTGTGACATAAAATCCTTCTGATGCATTATTGCATCTAAATGTATAAAAATATGTCAATGTAAGGAGAAGAAACAACATTTGTACTGTATAACTCAGGAAAGTTGAGAACTATTCCAGGAATGTAGTGAAAAGAGAAAACATAGTGAACCAACTCATCTACGAAAATAAAATAAACCTATTTAACTACATTTGTAAAAGCCTTTTTCTTGCAGGTCTACTAAACGGCAAGACTATGTCGCAACTCATAAGCATCAGTAAACATGATCACCAAAATATTTGAGGTGATTTTACAAAAGAGCCCATCCTGGTGTATATTTATTTGATCTAGATTGCCAATGCGAGTCAAAACCAAAAGCGGAAGATTTCAGTAAAACTATCGACGAAAACCTATTCTGGTTTAGTTATACTTGCTGTTTGAACTTACTTCGCAACAGCTTGAGCTGGTGTTCCTTCTGAAAGTCGCCAGCTGTTGTGTCCTTGATCTTGATGAAGTACGTGTCATCGAAGTGCTCCTGCTGCAGGTTCTTGACTTCCAGCGAACTCCAGACACTGTTTACGCCATTGCTCTGGAAATAAAAATAACAGCACAGGATAAAATAACAACATCATCTGCAGTTGATTTCAGTTTCTGAAATAAAATCATTACTTGTCACATTGTCAAGTCTCTTTGATATTTCTTTTTACTGTAACTAAAATGGCTATTGAACATGAAGGAGTGGGTGATTCAGACATGTTACAGGATACAGATACGGACTAAATTGACACCTGTAACAGTAAAAGCAAAATGTGGAAAATACTTCGTAAATGTTCAGATATGAGCAATGTGCATATTTGTCAAATAAATCATATTTGTTGAAAACCTCTGATGGCTAAAACTCTTTAAATTTAGCTGCAACTGGTCCTTCCTTGCAAGTGAGGTCATTCCCTATGACCTTACATTATTCTCTGTAGATATATATTTACCATACAAGTGCGGTAATTCCCTATGACCTTACATTATCCTCTGTAGATACATATTTACCATACAAGTGAGGTCATACCCTATGACCCTTACATTATCTTCTGTAGATATATATTTACCATACAAGTGAGGTCATACCCTATGATCTTACAATGTCCTCTGTAGATACATATTTACCATACAAGTGAGGTCATACCCTATGATCTTACATTATCCTCTGTAGATACATATTTACCATACAATTGAAGTCATACCCTATGACCTTACAATGTCCTCTGTAGATATACCCTGTAAAGTTATACCCTATGACCTTACATTATTCTCTGTAGATATATATTTACCATACAAGTGAGGTCATACCCTATGATCTTACAATGTCCTCTGTAGATATATATTTACCATACAAGTGAGGTCATACCCTATGATCTTACATTATCCTCTGTAGATACATATTTACCATACAAGTGAGGTCATACCCTATGATCTTACATTATCCTCTGTAGATATATATTTACCATACAAGTGAGGTCATACCCTATGATCTTACATTATCCTCTGTAGATACATATTTACCATACAAGTGAGGTCATACCCTATGATCTTACATTATCCTCTGTAGATATATATTTACCATACAAGTGAGGTCATACCCTATGATCTTACAATGTCCTCTGTAGATACATATTTACCATACAAGTGAGGTCATACCCTATGACCTTACATTATCCTCTGTAGATATATATTTACCATACAAGTGAGGTCATACCCTATGATCTTACATTATCCTCTGTAGATATATATTTACCATACAAGTGAGGTCATACCCTATGATCTTACAATGTCCTCTGTAGATATATATTTACCATACAAGTGAGGTCATACCCTATGATCTTACATTATCCTCTGTAGATATATATTTACCATACAAGTGAGGTCATACCCTATGATCTTACATTATCCTCTGTAGATATATATTTACCATACAAGTGAGGTCATACCCTATGATCTTACATTATCCTCTGTAGATATATATTTACCATACAAGTGAGGTCATACCCTATGATCTTACATTATCCTCTGTAGATATATATTTACCATACAAGTGAGGTCATACCCTATGATCTTACATTATCCTCTGTAGATATATATTTACCATACAAGTGAGGTCATACCCTATGATCTTACATTATCCTCTGTAGATATATATTTACCATACAAGTGAGGTCATACCCTATGATCTTACATTATCCTCTGTAGATATATATTTACCATACAAGTGAGGTCATACCCTATGATCTTACAATGTCCTCTGTAGATATATATTTACCATACAAGTGAGGTCATACCCTATGATCTTACAATGTCCTCTGTAGATATATATTTACCATACAAGTGAGGTCATACCCTATGATCTTACATTATCCTCTGTAGATATATATTTACCATACAAGTGAGGTCATACCCTATGATCTTACATTATCCTCTGTAGATATATATTTACCATACAAGTGAGGTCATACCCTATGATCTTACATTATCCTCTGTAGATATATATTTACCATACAAGTGAGGTCATACCCTATGATCTTACATTATCCTCTGTAGATATATATTTACCATACAAGTGAGGTCATACCCTATGATCTTACATTATCCTCTGTAGATATATATTTACCATACAAGTGAGGTCATACCCTATGATCTTACATTATCCTCTGTAGATATATATTTACCATACAAGTGAGGTCATACCCTATGATCTTACATTATCCTCTGTAGATATATATTTACCATACAAGTGAGGTCATACCCTATGATCTTACAATGTCCTCTGTAGATACATATTTACCATACAAGTGAGGTCATACCCTATGACCTTACATTATTCTCTGTAGATATATATTTACCATACAAGTGAGGTCATACCCTATGATCTTACATTATCCTCTGTAGATATATATTTACCATACAAGTGAGGTCATACCCTATGATCTTACATTATCCTCTGTAGATACATATTTACCATACAAGTGAGGTCATACCCTATGATCTTACATTATCCTCTGTAGATATATATTTACCATACAAGTGAGGTCATACCCTATGATCTTACATTATCCTCTGTAGATACATATTTACCATACAAGTGAGGTCATACCCTATGATCTTACATTATCCTCTGTAGATATATATTTACCATACAAGTGAGGTCATACCCTATGATCTTACATTATCCTCTGTAGATACATATTTACCATACAAGTGAGGTCATACCCTATGATCTTACATTATCCTCTGTAGATATATATTTACCATACAAGTGAGGTCATACCCTATGATCTTACATTATCCTCTGTAGATACATATTTACCATACAAGTGAGGTCATACCCTATGATCTTACATTATCCTCTGTAGATATATATTTACCATACAAGTGAGGTCATACCCTATGATCTTACATTATCCTCTGTAGATACATATTTACCATACAAGTGAGGTCATACCCTATGATCTTACATTATCCTCTGTAGATATATATTTACCATACAAGTGAGGTCATACCCTATGATCTTACAATGTCCTCTGTAGATACATATTTACCATACAAGTGAGGTCATACCCTATGACCTTACATTATTCTCTGTAGATATATATTTACCATACAAGTGAGGTCATACCCTATGATCTTACATTATCCTCTGTAGATATATATTTACCATACAATTGAGGTCATACCCTATGATCTTACAATGTCCTCTGTAGATATACTCTGTTAAGTTATACCCTATGATGTTATGCTCTGTATATATATATATTTACCATACAGCTAAGGTCATATCCCATGACCTTAGTTCCTCCATGCTCAAAGTTTTGATTCGTTGTTCCCGACTTCCAAACGACCTTCTTACAGGTCACATCAGCAGCCACTACCGTACAGTTCATCACTGCCCGGCCATCATTCAATCGTGCTTTTGTGGTTGAACACGTGATTTCTGGTTCAACTGTAATTAAAAAGGTTGTTTTTTTCAACTTCTTTGATTATCAGAAATGTTCAACACTTGCATCCAAGACAATCTTTGACTGTATAGTGATCGTCTCCCCTACCTCAATACCTTATACTGAAGTCACAATTACAACCAATAAAATGCTGAGGATTATAGACCGATTGTACTAAAATATTGATTTACTTTTTTGTATAGTACACTCATTGATCAAATTTCCTTAGAAACTGGTCAAGATTGATTTAGCTATGGTGCAGAAACCATTGATATATCATTCTTCTATTAGTTATGCAAATATTTTGCTTATTATCAAACTTGACCATGAAGTCATTTAAGCACACAAACAAAAGCGTGACCAAAGGAAGGACAGATGGACATTGTGATTACAATAAATCCTCACCTACCCACCTTCCTTCAGTGCGAGAATTAACTGCAACATTGTTAGCATTACATGAGGCATGGACAGGTGGTTTTTTATCTCTTTAAAAACCAGTGAAGTATTTTCTCTATTTTTTATATTTCTTATTGAATGGGTGAGCATACCCCGTTTACAGATTGGAAATATTTTTGCTGGCCTTGTACAGCCAATACAAGTATAAAACATATTACATCAATACAACCCTAGGCCCAGTGCAACTTGACATATCCTCACACAAGCTGTTACACACAAGCGACATTTCATACATAACTGATATAATACAGAGATTTTTGTTCAAATAAAAAAATATCTAAACTTTTCACACAATGAAACACGCTAAATTACAGATACTTCACCTTTTTCCTTAAAGTGGAAAGATTTTGTTCTGAACAATCTGCAACCTAGCTTGGGGAACACTAGCTCTATAGCCCGAGTGTACATTTTCACTGATGGACATTTAGGGCTAGTGACGTCGCATGTGTCGCCTTCAAACTTTCAATGTTGCGACCATTCAATCTCCAATATGTAAATATCTGTGATCATGACAACAGGGAAGTTGAAGACTTTAGGTGTATATATAAGAAGGTTAATTTAGTTATCGACTATATATATAGCTACATATACTCCTACTGGTACCATGAAATCATGAATATTTTTATCAACTTACCTTCTTCAATCCTCAGCTGAAAGACCAATGTATGTTCGCTGAATTCTTGGCGAGGAACCTTGACATTACAAGCCAGGTTCGTGTCTGCTGTTGTCAGATTGAAGGTGGCAACCTGTTCCTTGCTGATTTCCTGTCCATTCAGCATTAAAGTGTACTTAGGTTCAGGGTAGCCATTTTCAGCAACACATGACATGGTATAAGTTCCACTGAGCAACTTAACACCAGTTGTAGATGAATGTGTGCCTCCTTCTTCATGGATTAATTTCATTTCTTTGCCATCAGAAGTCTTGACCAGAATCAACTCTACTGGGCCAACATCTGTGGAAATATAGGGAATTGTGAAGACATTTATAAAATCAATGTAAAAACTTCAAATCACTGGACTTTGGTTGAAATGATCATGATGTATTCAAATGCATCAGCAAATACATCAGAAACTCCAGTTGGAATAAACCTCCTGATAGTAATCTATTCCGCTGTTTCAAGAGATTTAACTGCCTTTACAATTATGAGCATAAAACCTATGTTGATTTCCTTGCATTCATTCAAACTCCTGAAAAAGTAACAATTTATGAGACTCAGCTGTTCTGTATGTTATTTTCAATCATACTACTACTTCTTCTACTAATAAAAATGATAAAATTCTTAATTTAAAGATGACCACATGTAAAGTATTAAACTAATATGCGCTCTCAACACATATTAAATACCCCAGCCAGCACACATATTCCACACTTCATGTTCATGCATCACTTGATACCATGGCCACCCGACGAGTATTTACCGGTACCAGACCTATCTGTTACAATATGTATCTACCAAGAAGTATGAGTATTTACCGGTACCAGACCTATCTGTTACAATATGTATCTACCAAGAGGTACAAGTATTTACCGGTACCAGACCTATCTGTTACAATATGTATAGATGATCTACCAAGAGATACAAGTATTTACCAGTACCAGACCTGTCTGTTACACTGTTACAATATGTATAGATGATCTACCAAGAGGTACAAGTATTTACCAGTACCAGACCTATCTGTTACAATATGTATCTACCAAGAGGTACAAGTACTTACCGGTACCAGACCTGTCTGTTACAGTATTATCTACCAAGAGGTACATGTACTTACCGGTACCACGCCTATTTGTTACAATATGTATCTACCAAGAGGTACGAGTACTTACCGGTACCACACCTATCTGTTACAATATGTATCTACCAAGAGGTGCAAGTACTTACCGGTACCACACCTATCTGTTACAATATGTATAGATGATCTACCAAGAGTTACAAGTATTTACCAGTACCAGACCTGTCTGTTACAGTATTATCTACCAAGAGGTACATGTACTTACCAGTACCAGACCTGTCTGTTACAGTATTATCTACCAAGAGGTACATGTACTTACCAGTACCAGACCTGTCTGTTACAATATGTATCTACCAAGAGGTACAAGTATTTACCAGTACCAGACCTGTCTGTTACAATATGTATCTACCAAGAGGTACAAGTATTTACCAGTACCAGACCTGTCTGTTACAATATGTATAGATGATCTACCAAGAGGTACAAGTATTTACCAGCAGCGGGTTTGACACTCAACGTCATGTTCCTGATGTACTTCTTTTCGTTATCGGGTCCAGTTTGAGTTAAACACTGCCACAAACCAGAGTCAGATACCTTTAGACCTGTTAAAAACAAATGACACATAGGAAATCATATAATCTCTATAACCCCATATATATACATCTATATGATGAGATAATCTCACTAATCCCATATATACATCAATATATGGTTAGATAATCTCTATAACCCCATATATATACATCTATATGATGAGATAATCTCACTAATCCCATATATACATCAATATATGGTTAGATAATCTCTATAACCCCATATATATACATCTATATGATGAGATAATCTCACTAATCCCATATATACATCAATATATGGTTAGATAATCTCTATAACCCCATATATATACATCTATATGATGAGATAATCTCACTAATCCCATATATACATCAATATATGGTTAGATAATCTCTATAACCCCATATATATACATCTATATGATGAGATAATCTCACTAATCCCATATATACATCAATATATGGTTAGATAATCTCATAAACCCCATATATATACATCTATATTATTAGATAATCTCACTAATCCCATACATACATCTATACGATAAGATAATCTCACTTATCTGTTACAGATTATCTAATCATATAGATGTATGTATGGGATTAGTGAGATTATCTAATCATATAGATGTATGTATGGGATTAGTGAGATTATCTAACAAATCCCATATATACATCTATATGATTAGATAATCTACTTGTGAGCAGGTATTGATTGTTACGTCATTGGTTTGTGAGAGTAACGTCATCAATTTTTGAGAAAACGACATAATATTCTCACACAAACCAATGACATAACAATCAATACCTGCTCACAAGAGAAGATAACTCTGCAATACGCAAAGACGAAATAGAATGTCTTGGTGTACTTATATAGTGAGGTGACGATGAGGAGCCCATGCTCCTGTATTTCTCAATGGATGACCCTAAATCATATTCCAAGTAGCTATTTTATGAGCCAACCAATCAAATATTACTCTTCATAAATGTTTCATCAAGATCGACATGAAATTATTTCACATGTATCTGCTGTAAATGCAGTACCATTGGTTTGACTTGATCTAGATCTATACACCAGTGTTCATGTGACATTTCATGGCTAATGAACAGTATTATTCTTATTGAATATAAAATAATGGGGTCTGTCACTCTCACCTGACGAACTTCACATAATCAGTCTACTTCATTATGATAATTCATATGTTTAATAATTCTAAGATTGTACCTTTTCAGAAAATTTAAAGGAATTGAACTTGGGTCTTAATTGATCATTTCCTCAAATAAGGATTTCATTGAATTGGTTGTGTCCCAAGGCAAGTGTAGAGAGTTACATGCATATATATAAAAAGCAATATTTCCTTCAAGAATTATTGCATGGAAACTATTTGTAGAGAAGACTATGATGCCATCCAAGTAATTCCTGTTTGTCACCTTTGCTTCAGAGGAGACACAAACACGAGGGTTGGCTGTAGTGTCTAACTGAGTTTGGTTTGGTTTGTTTGTGTTTTACGTCCTATTAACATGTACAGCTATGGTCATTTAAGGACGTGCCAGGTTTTGATGGTGGAGGAAAGCCAGAGTTCGCCAGAGAAAAAACACCGACCGACAGCCAGTAGTACCTGACAACTACCCCACGTAGGCCTCAAACCCGTGACCCAGTGGTGGAGGGCTAGTGCTAGCAGAATGTCAGACGCCTTAACCACCGCGGCCCCGTCTAACTGAGTTTTTTTTGAAGCACTAGTATATACGTATAGTAGTACTTGTCTTAGAATGGAGGTCCAGCTCATGACCAGTGAGTTCTACAAATAGGTCCAGAGGTAGCTGTTGTCTTATAAATTTCTAGTAAGCATCTCTATGGGTTTTTTCCGATATGTACAGTAATACTCTAGCCAGGAACATTTCTTAGCTTTACCCATGGCCAGTAGTTAAATTTCTATGGAGAAATTAAAATCAAAGAAAAAACCCATAGATAAGATGTTTTGTACAACTGAAGCTTGATCAGGCTGCTTAATTAATAACAGAAAAATATATGCAGACTTACTTGTAATATTGTAATGGAAATAGGCCCAACCATTCTTTGTTTCCAATTTCATAGAATAAGATGCTCCTGGATATTGATCTTTTGCCTTAGCGTCAATATTCCTGTATACCACGACATCACCTGGCTGCTTCATTAATATATGTGCAACACCACCTATTAATTTTTCCACTCTCAATTTGGGATCACACGTTATCATCAGGAGATCGCCTGCAACCAGATCCATATGTTCCGTTTCTGCTTTGGAGGATTCTGAAAAGATAAA